CTGGGAAGTTTATGAGCGCAGAGAGCACTTGAGTGTGAGTCTGTGGTGGAGAGAACAGTCCCCACTCATGCTTCCGTGACAGCGCTGGGCAGTGGTTCGGCATCGCTTTGCCAGCATTGGGGAAAGTTTCCCCCCTTCACTTCATGATTACCCAAAAGCAGCCTGGTGCAAGTGAAATAAAATACCTGCCTACTAGTTTCTGGCATTAATTTCTAGAACTTGTACCAAGTCTTATTTAGAATTGCATATAGGTGTTTCTGATCTGAAGCATGCAGGAGCCCTCTCTGTTCTTATTTCTAACAATGGTATTTATTTTAAAACCTGGACTTTGTAATGGAAATAAAATTCAGATAAGCACATATATTGTTCAGCTTCCAGTTTAAGTAGAATTTTTAGCAAGTGGTATTAATGACAGTCTGATTTGCATCAACAGAGATGAAATGGTTTATAGACAAAATTTTGGAGGGCGTGTTCTTACCCGAGGGCCACTATTTCCTCTCTTCAGCAGTCCAAGACCTCAGAGAAAATCAGTAGTGTCATTGCCATGGTGTTGATCTGTTTCTAGGAACATTAAGGTGTTTCCTTACAGACTTCATATTTCATTAAAATTATCCTTCCCAAGTCTCCTACTGACTTAGGTTGCCATTTATTATAAACTCATTTTTCAGAAAAGTGGAAATGACAGTTGATGCATTTGAACGTCATGCAATGATGGAGAAGACCCAGTGGCATCCCTGGGCCCCCGTGGGTCCTGTGAACAGCACGGGGTCAGTGGGCAAAGCCTTTCCCTGGTCATTAACGTTTGTTCAGCCTGGGCCTGACACGGGCTGAGTACTTCGGTGCCTCTACTTTATTGCCCCCAAGAACCGCATCGGTGGTGCTGTCTGCAGCTCGGGTTCCTCTGGCAGCTGGAGTGGGAATGGCCCGCCTGGGGTGGGCCAGGCCTGTGTCAAGAGCATCGGCAGTCTCTTGGAGGCGTGCAAGAACTTGGGCCTGGGGCATTTACATGATTGTTTTCTGTGTGAATCTCACCCTTTCTGATTAGAAAGTCCTGATCTGGCCAGCATAGCATAGGGACACATTTCAATGAATATTCCAAAATGGTTTGGCTATTTTAAATTAGTTTGGGATTACCTAAATAACAATGTATCCTGCCGGGTGCAGTCATTCGTGCTCTGGTTGGTCAGTAGCCTCCACGTTTACAGAATTTTTTTCATTGGTGGCATTTTTGGGGGTTGATGTTGTTTATGAATAGTTTTGTGGCAAGCAAGGAGTAACGTCAGGGAAACAAATTGCACATGCCTCACAGATAGAAGCCTTGTCGTCAGGCCTCGCGTCGGGATGCCCAGCACATCGCTGCTCCGTGAGCGTTTTTGAAGTGAACTCACTCATTTGCACCGATGTGGGCTTTTCAGAGTCAGCATACTCTCTACTCCATTGCTGTGGCCAGTGGAAGAAAACTGAGGCTCAGGAGCCCCTTGAGTCGCACCTGTGGGGGTTCTGTCTTAGAAGTCCACCTCCAGGGGCCTGCTCCCCGCCCAGGCTGAAGAAGTGCCCCCGCAGCTTTATTGTGATGCGTGTTTAGTGTGTTGTGTGTCTTCCTGTGAGTATCGGAGACCCCTGGAAGCAGAAGCTCGGGAGACTTGATCCCAGGAGGGAGGGCGGGTGGTCTGTGTCTCCCCTTTGTCTGCTTGGCTTTAGATCACCCGGAACCTCAGACTCGGGTCAGGACAAAATAGGGCGAAAAGTCCTCTTTACCATGGCGAAAAGTCCTCTTTTTCCTACAAACTGATCTTGTGTTCACTCGGACGTCGTCTTCAGTTCTGAAGACAGAAAGTTGCTCCTGGCCCTGTAGATCGAGTGGATGTAGATGTGATCCACAGCCGCTCTCCGGTGTCTTTCACCAACCAGTAAGGTCCCGCAAGGTGCCTTAGAAACCCCCTTCCTGCTCCCTCAGGGCGGGTTGTGGGCACGAACCCCCTGCCCTGCCCACAGCCTCGCTGCTGCCCTGCTCTGGAAGTAGCCGGTCTGTAAGCGACAGGCCACTCACCTGCGCTCAGGGGAGGGAGTCACTGAGTGAGAAAGAGCTAGCCCTTCCTGAGCGGGTCCCCTTGGTCTTGCAGTGAGGGGAGACGTGCTGGCAGCTGGGACCCCCTGAGTCAGACGTTGGGGGTGGGGCCAGCAGCCTCAGCATGGCGTGCCCAGGGATCCACATGTGCAGAGTCGTGGCAGTGGCCAGTGCAGGACACTGGGGTCTCCTCCGCCTCTCAGCCCTGCTGCGCAGCTCTTTCACCTCGGAATCGTAAATATGTTTTTCAGGATTTTTAGCATCCCGCCCACTTGGGTTAGGGGTTTTGAGTGCTGTGTGCTGAGACTGCTTCGTCTCTTGCACCTTGGTCTGGTTTTCAAGCGAGCAATTCCATGCTGGAGCGGCGTGTGTGGCGCCCCGCCTCTGGTGCCTGGCCGGTAGCAGGAAGGGGTGCACGTGAGGCCTGGGGTGCGGGCTCCGGGTGGTGCTGCACCGTGGGCCAGCAGATGTGAGTCTGGGTGACTTATGAAGCAGTGTAGCGTGAATTCTGTGCCTAGTGTGAACTTCCATCTAAGCTCCGCCCTTTTTAAAATTTTTTTGGTGTTTCTTCCTTTTTTCCTTAAGAAGAAGGCTGCGCGTTAACAACATGCAGAGCGCCGGGGCTGTGCCCGTGCCGTGAGCTTCATGCAGCGTCAAGGCCGCTGCCACGGACGTGCTTGGCCCGGGCCCCACGTCACTGGGGGGTCTCCGGCCCCCCTCATCATGCTGCTGTGGTGGGGGGTGGGTCTCTCCTCCTGCCCAGCGCCAGAGGAGCCAGTTATAAAGGGAAAGTGACGCTGCTGACGGGCTTTGGGGTGGGGGGGAGGCTTTAGGTTTGTGAGGGCCGTTACAGACACGGAAAGCATGAGGGGTCAGCAGATGAAGTTAATTGGCACGTGAACTCAGAGCCCTGAGAACAATTCTTGGGGTTGCACGCCTCTGCCATGCCCTTAAATCTAGTCCAGGGAAGTGAAAGTCCAGTCACACCTGGACGTGCTCCTCGCGGGAGCAACTGCCCAGCCCACAGTGCACCCCCCACCCCCACCCCGCCGGACTGCAGCCCGCCTGCCTCCCTCCCCACCCTTCCTGTGGGTTCTCTGGGTTGGCCCTGTCAGCCTCTAAATAGTCTTTCCTGGTCACAGCGTGTGCGCACATCTTACACGCCGGCTGCCCGCCCGGTCTGTGCTTGCACCGCGGCGCGCGTTTTCCGTTGGGTGTCACGAGAGCTCCGGACTGTGTGTTCAGAACACGAGTCCTTTGTGGGTCGGCACCTCGTCAGCGGCTCTCATGCTTGTGCGTGTAGTTCTGCTGACTCGGTGGTGGTTTCCGTGAAAAGAAGGTCTTGGGTTTAATGGAGGGCGCTTGGTGACTTTCCTCCGTGCTCGTTGCCTCTTTCCCAACCCTGAGGAGGGGAACTAATGCGTCTGGTATTTTCCTTCTTTCCGTCCTTTGTTGTAATTGTATTATTTTTTATTCAGTGTGTGTCTCACTGGATGATGGAGGGGCACGGGCTCCTATTTCTCCAAATGTCTGCTACACCCACGCTCACCCCCCAAGCCCCCACGTGTCCGGTGCTTTCTCAATGCTTCCTTTTACATTTGACGGCCATCCCCTGGAAGGGCTCGGCGTCTAGGGTGGAGAAAGGATCCGATGGCTGGCCCAGGATGATGCCGGCCTGCGTGGAACGCGCAGGGGCTGTGGTCCGCTCGCCGCACGTCGGTCTGTGCCGCAGAGTCCCGGGGACGGCGATGGGCCTACAGAGCTGCGCCGAGGATGTTGGCGTAGGGGTGGCGAGCAGGTGTGCGTGGTCAGCGCAGGCCCTGTGGCCTAGGCCGCGGCGTGTCTGCTGCGAGCGGCTGGCCTGGGCGCGGTGGCTGCGTCTCCGCCCGTGTCGCACCGCCCCTCTCCCCGGGCGCGGGAGGGCCGAGCGCTCCGTTGCTGCCGCCTCATTGCTGTTAGGTTGGCCTTAGGTTCTGGCCGCGAGGGCGCTGTGCGATGGCCTGTCGCGGTGGTTTAAGGACCGTTTCTCAAGCGCCTGATAATGTTTAACGTCTCTCCCTGCGCTGCTTTGCCCCGCACAGGTGGTCTTTGTTCCAGGCTTGGTCCATTGAAAGCCTTTTTTTTTTTTTAAACCAAACTTCCTTTCTTTCATTTTTTTTTTTTAAAGATTGTTTTATTTATTTATGCAAGCACTGGGCACAGTCAGAAGCACGGGAGGGTGGGAGAATTCACCAGAGCCAGAGCGGGGAGCAGAGCAGGCAGAAGGACCGAAGGACACTGCTGAGGGGAGCAGCCGGCGGCAGGAGAGGTCTGCGCGCCATGTGGGACCCTCCTCCGGGGGCCGGGGAGCAGCCGGGGATCGAACCGGCACCGCAGAGGCTGCGGGCAGCTTCGCAACCCAGCACTCAACCGCGGCGCCACCAGGGGAGGCCCCATTGAAAGCCTTTTACATGTTCCCTCTATAAGCCATTGGTCAGATTTGTGAGCGTCTTTCCATCCGTCCCCTCCTCCCCACACCCCCCCCCCGTGGCTTTATTTTCTCCTTTTTTTTTTTTTTTTTTTTTTTTTTGGTGCCACCCTCGCCAGGCAGCTGGGGAATGAACCAGCGCTGCAGAGGCTGCGGGCAGCCTCGCAGCCCAGCACTCAAACGCTGCACCACTGGGGAGGCCCTTTTCTCGTTCTCTTGACAGTGTTTTGAGAAGCAGGTGATGTCCTATTTTTCAGTTTGTTTTGTGGAGTTCAATATTTTGTTGTTGTTTAAGAAATTTTTGCGGTATCTTAGGTCACAAAGGTTTTCTCCTCCCCCCCCCCCCCTTTAGGAGTTTTACAGTTCTGGGTTTTGCACTGAGATCTATTCATTGTGAGATGGTTTTTGTTCTGGTGTAGAACGTGGCCCATGTTACTTACAGGACTCTCCGGTCGTCTCTTCCAGAGATTGTTTTTGCTTCAGTCATCTGGGCTCACTTTAAACCAAGTCCAGAGCCTGAGAGTCTTTGGACCTTCCAGAACTGTGATGTTGTCAGGGGAGGTACCTGTTCCCCGCTCCCCTAAGAATGAGTGGAGCTGAGCGTCTGGAAGGCAGGTGGGTAAAGGTTCTTGTTCCTGTGCCCGACATGCACCTGGTGCCGCTGGGAGGAAGACGTGGAAGCAGCCGCGCAGAGGAGAGACCTGTGGAGACACTTGCCAGAGACGCGGGTGTGAGGCCGAGCATGTCAGCGTGAGCCTGGTGAGGTGTTTCTCTGGGCCTGCTTCACGACCCCTTCCCTGTGGTTCCTGCCAGAAGGTGCCTTGGCCTTGTGACAGGCTTTTGGGCCTCGGTGGCCCCACTTGGGGCCAACCCTGTTTGGCTGGGTGTGTACCCACAAGTGAATGGGTAACTTTGGGTGCTTCGTTGGGAAACTCTCCTGATGGACTTTTTTCTTCTCTCCATGCACAGTAATTCTGTTGAAGATCTTCTACACAAAGAGTGCTTGTCTATGTGGCGTGTGGCAGGACCCCTTCAGAGCATGCAGAGGGTCCTTGGGTACCCTTTGCTCATGCACTATGTCCCTGAGAGCTGGATCCCTCTGAATTGTGTAGTCCGGGAGCCCCGAGGATTGAGGTTAGACGCTTTGGGGACCCTGCCTGTTTCCCTGTACTGCTGGGAAAAGAGCAGTTGGAAATTTCAAACCAGCAAGTGGCTCCAGGGCAAAGGTAGTTTCTGCCTGGTTAGCTGCTCTGCTTCCTGGTTTCACTTTAATTTGCCTTGATATTTCCTTATTATCTTGTCAGTTTCTGGTTGCTTTTATGACTTTTAAAGTGTTCTGTCCATCTTCTTTTAATCTTTTATAGGGGGAGGGTGGGACGAACAGCCAAGGAAAGTTCTCTCTTGTTTCCCTTGGCTCCTAGGGTCTGTACCTGGGCCCGCTGTCTCCTGCGTAGCCCTGGCCACACGTGGCCGCCCGAGTCAACATTAAGTGAGATTAAAGCTCTGTCCTGCAGAGACACCAGCCCTGCCTCATGCGCTCCACTGGGGTAGATGCGCCGCGCCTCCTGGCAGCACCCTGGTGACAGTGCTGGCTGCACGGAGCCACCTCGGACTTGCAGTGGGCGTGGGTCTGCCAGAGGCCACTGATGCAGGCTGCTGACCATTTGACTTCCTCTGGACTCTGTCCCCAGCCTGGCGACCTCTGAGCCCGCAGCGGGCTGACTGTGAGGCCCTCCTGGGTGGTACGGGCTCCACCCTGAGCGCGGTGTGTCTTCCAAATAGCTGCCGATCCTGTGGGGAATCGGGTCCGTGTCCTGAGGGGTCTGTCTGTTAACTAGCACCAAGTGCTTGGGGCTGGCGGGAGGTCTGTACTGCCCAGTCCCCTGGCACCAGGAGGAGCAGGGACGAGTGGGGAGAGTGAGGCTCTGGGACACCTCCAGGTGCTGTGTGGTCCATGGGTGCGTCCTCGGCTGGCATCCTCTGCTCTGCACTGGGCAGTGGGGCAGTTTGCAGCCTGTTGCCATCACGGACACTGCTGCGCACGCCTCCTGCCTGGATGTGTGTGGTCCACGCCCCCGGGAGTGAGGCTGGGTTCTGGGCCGGCTGCTCTCTAGCCGCTGCCAGGCTACACTCACCGGCTCCATGTCCCGGGTCCTCCAGCGTCCATCCTTGCCAGTGGCTCTTCAGTCTTGCCGTCCTGGTGAGGGCCCCATCTGCGGCTTTGCAGCGTTTCCCTTGTTGCGCATGACGCCGCACCCGGGTACTGGCCTCCTCTGTCTGCTGTAAGGGGCTGTGGATCTTTGGTCTGATTTTCTCTCAGTATTTTCTAGCTGATTGGAAGCCGGGCTGTCTGTGGATTCAAGTCCTCTGTTACTATGTCTGCTGACTGTTGTCTTCCAGTTTGTGGTGTGTCTTTTTTGCTTTTGAGGTGTCATGGAGCTTAATTTCGTTATCAGTGTTTTCAGTCTTTTCCTCTGATTTAGTGGCTTTTTGTCCTATTTGAGGGATCTTTCTTTACCCAAGGGCTAAATGCATTTTTTTTTAAAGTGATTATTTTTTTATTTATACAAGCACTGGGTACAGTCAGAAGCACGGGAGGGTGAGAGAATTCACCAGAGCCAGAGCGGGGAGCAGAGCAGGCAGAAGGACCAAAGGACACTGCTGAGGGGAGCAGCGGGCGGCAGGAGGGGTCTGCGCGCCATGTGGGACCCTCCTCCGGTGGCTGGGGAGCAGCCGGGGATCGAACTGGCACCGCAGAGGCTGCGGGCAGCTTCGCAACCCAGCGCTCAACCGCTGCGCCACCGGGGAGGCCCAAATGCATTTTTTTTAAATATTTATACAAAAGCTGGGGTACAGGCCAGAGGCACAGGAGGGTGAGAGAATTCACCAGAGACAGGGCGGGGGGTGTGGACAGAACAGGCAGAAGAACCGAAATACGCTGCTGAGGGTAGCAGTGTGCGCGACAGGAGAGTCTGCTGTGCCATGTGGGAATCTCCCTGGCCGGCCAGGAATCGAACCCGTGCTGCAGAGGCTGCGGACAGCTTCACAGCACTTCGCTCAACCCGCTGTGCCACCAGGGAGGCCCCCAAGGGCTAAATTTTGACATGAGGTATTACTCAGTTCATGAAGCATTTATTGTTCCATTGAGTAAATATGTTTAATGGTTAGATCTGGAGGGACCTAGCGCGTCAGACCCCCACGGGCCATCTTGCCCCCCGATGTGCCACCAGTCGTGCGTGACTTATGGCAGTTCATTGGGTCCACATTTGGGAAACCCTGCCCGGTGCCTGGTGGGAAGGATGGGAGGCCACTGTGCACAGTGGTGCTGCCCCTGCAGGTGCTTTTGTGCCCAGGATGAGCAAACCTTGTCTGCTGCTGGCCACACAGAGACCCTGCAGGCCTGGCGGACAATAAAATGTTGAAAGGCATTCCTAGCCCTTGAGCCCCACACAGCCTGGCTATAGGCTTGTGTGTCATCCCCTGTGGGCCTGGTTGGCTCCAGGGAGGTTCATTGGTTGAGAGCAGGAAGGCAGTCCTGGCATGGAAACCCGCTCCCCCACTTCAGGACCCTTCCCACTCCCCACCCCAGCCGGAGTCTGCAGCCCAGGGTGCCCACCAGTGGGTGGGGAGAAGAGGAGATGACTTTGGTATCACAGGCAGGAGCAAAGCACTTGGTACGAGATTCTGATGCGGGCAGTACCGGCAGGAGGGGGCTGGGCGGAGTTGTGGGGATTGGCGCGGGTGACCTCCAGCGTGCACCTGGGAGCCTGGACCACTGTTGGCGGTCAGGCCTCCTGGCGCGTGGTGACAGTGACTGAAGGGCAGCCTGTAACCTTTCTTTTTCTTTTTTTTTTTAAAGATTTATTTATTTATTTATACAAGCACCCGTATAGTCAGAAGCGGGGGAGGGTGAGAGAATTCATCAGAGCCAGAGCAGGGAGCAGAGCAGGCAGAAGGACCAAGGTACACTGCTGAGGGGAGCAGCGGGCGGTAGGAAAGGTCTGCGCGCCATGTGGGACCCTCACCAGTGGCCGGGGGTCAAACCGGTGCTGCAGAGGCTGCGGGCAGCTTCGCAGCGCAGTGCTCAACTGCTGTGCCACCAGGGGAGGCCCCAGCCTGTAATCTTTCATGAGCTAGCACGTCATCCAAACAGAGGGAGAGACCTTAAACGTGAGCTTGACCCGAAGTCTGTTTCTGCATCCGTCTGCAGGCTCTGGCCAGGTAAATGAAGTGGCCAGCCGAAATGGGGGCCCAGAGTACCTCCAGGGTGGCGCCCACATCCCTCCTTGGTGACGAGTCCATAAAACTCACTTTGCTTTTTCATGGTAGCTTTGAGGAAGAATCCTGAACACCACGATAAGCAGAGTTGTGTGTGAGTGTGAGCTCTTGTCCCCTGGGAAGAGGCTTCTGGAGCTTGGGTCCATCACATCTTCAGCAGGGAGCCCACCCCCAAGGGCACACATCTGGGGCTCTGCGGAGGGTTGTGTGGTGAGGAAAGGTGTCCAGAAAACAGAAATTCTCTTTTGACGGTAACAACAGCCCGCACTGCCAGGTAAAATGCTCTCTCTCGGAGCTTGAACCCGTGGGCCAGCAATTAAAATGTTTTCTGTGCCTCCCTTCGCCCTCCAAGAGAGGAAACAAGATGCATTTTTGGTCTGGGCTGGCCAGGTGTTGGGGGCTCTCTGCCTGGTGGGGATGTTTGCAGTGCGCACTGCGGTCCCTACTATCGGAGCACAGTGGGCTCTGGCAGGCTGCGTGCCGCCAGGCTTGTCTTAACAGTCACCTGGCTAGAGACATGACAGGCGTCACTCTAGCAGGCTTGGCCACCGCCACGAGCTAGGGTAGTTTCCCCTGTTGGCTTGGCAGTGTCTGACTAGTGAGTTGTAAATAGGCTTGGTGTGGTGAGTGCTGGGGTGAACAGATGCAGGAGAAGCAGGACAGCTGGTGAGCCCTTGTTGAAATTGGAGCATCGGCAGATTAATCTGGTGTTCTGGGGTCTGAACCGGATTGGCTGGTGTTTGACATCAGCATATTATGTGTTATTTGGGAATTACAGGCTGCAGGTGGTGGTGATCCCTGTGGAGATTTGGTGTCCGCCCTACAATGGCGGATAGAAGAGGGGCGATGTTGGATGTGGGTTTATCTCTGAGTTTCTCCCCATTGAAATTGTGACCAGCATTAAAGGCCAAGTGTTGTGGATGTGAATTCAGAGATGTAGGGAATGGGGGTTCATTGCCCTGAGAGATGCTAGGAATGGGGGTTAAGTGCAGGTATAGAAATTAAAAGTGAAAACCTACATCACCCTCTAGATTTCAGGTGGCGGATAATTGTGATTCCAGTGTTGGCAGAATGTTTGGAATCTACTTGGCTGAAGTCATGACAAAGTTCAGGTGGCAATTTTGCTTTCTCTTTGGAAAAAACGTAGCCTAAGGAAATCATAGCCTAAGGAATTGAGTTGCCAGAACAGGCAGCGGGCGGCTGGGTGACCTGCACACGGTCTGCACGTGACGTGATTTCGGGCAGCTCGTGGCTGGTCGTTGTTTGGTGAAGAGCTGTCTGACTTTCCTGGGTCTGTGAGCCTGCCCTTTCAGCCATTTCATGGCCCCCTCTCCGCCCCCAGCTTTTCCGCTGGGGTTTTCTCCCCTTTACTTTGACTGCATTAGGTAACTGAACTTTTGAGGTGGGTCAAAACTTCGGGAACCTCTCACTTTAGAGATGGGAAGTAACCCAGACAGGACAGATGACTGGTGGTGATTGGG